TTTCTTTTTCTACTTACCGAATGCAGAATTGCCTGCGAACTCCGTCACGGAGATGAACATTTTGCGATCTCCTTCTAGATTGCCCTCCAGCAGATCTTTGGCGGCTAGTTTCTCGATACCGCTGATTGTAAATGTCTTGCCGGAACCTGTTTGCCCGTAGGCAAATAATGTTCCTATGCCCCCTCCCCATACCCAAGGGACAAGATGTTGAACCGCGTCTTCGTAGATGGTTTCCGTTGAGATGTCAGGGCCGTAAGACCTGTCTACCGTATAAGCGGAAGACTGTACCAGCCATTCATTAGTTTCGCGACCGGCATGATGACTTTTGCGATACTCACCCGAAGAACCGGTTTCCCCCTCACAGCATGTCTCAGTTCATGCGCGTCAAACGTCCCCGGCTCCCGAGACCTTATGAAGATAGATGCTGGTAGCCCGGCGGCAACTTCTTCCTCTGCTAGTGGCCGTATACGAGCACAAACTAGATTGTCGAGAGACGAATCTGAATTGGGTGTCAACTTTGGCTTCGGCTGCATCTTGAATCGATCGAGGAGCCATTGGTAGCGGTCCAAGTTGCTGGTGATGAATTCTTCCATTGCTCCTTGATTTTGTCAGACGATTTACGCTGGTACGTTGAGTAATTGCAAAAATATTGTTCGTTCTGCTAATACAGTTGAAGCTGGAGTTTGGGGTTATTTGTAGCAAAAACAAAGAAAAAAGGCTTATGCGGTTGCCTAACTCAATTGCAGTCCTCGAGCCTGACCGCCAAGAGACTCTCCATGACAAGGCGCCTTCTTACATGTCCTCTCGAATCTCAACCATGAAATTGAAACCTACTGAAAAGGCGGTCTAATTTCTTTCAACTTTCTTTTTTCGGGATCCTGGTGCAACGGAGTTGGCAGATTGGGGTTGTTGCTGAGCAACGTCTCTGTTAATGCGGTTGCCTGAACTAACACGACCAACGTCGAGCTGAATCCCCGTCACGAACCCCTCTCTCATATTTTTATTTTGGTGCCTGGTTTCCGCCAGGAAAGATACTAGGTTTCTGGTTAAATTGCGAATCTGAGCCTTGACCAGGCAACAGGGAATTGCACATTGACCACGATTCCCGATGATAAACCCGTTGTGATTGCTCAATCCGGGATTGAGTTGGGTTTTCATTCAGAGCCCAAATGGCTGCCTTGTCATATTGTCCTGACAAATCAAAGAGGCTTCTAGTTGTAAAGGTTGCCATATCTCCTTTATCCTTGGCAGATTCCACAAGTTTGTCAATATCACTTTGACGGGGGTTGAGCACATTTCTTTAGCGCGAGTTAAACAAACGTCTCTCCTCGCCCGGAATATTTCTTACAGCATGAACAGATGGCTGATTATCAAGATTCAATACTTGCCACGCTTGTTCGCTGGCCAGAAAAGCACTGATGGCCAACCTCCACCAACATGGCAGGCCTAGGAAACCCTCGACTCGACAACATCGTACGTCTTCTCCAACAAGTCAACCAGGATCTCTAAATCTTCCTGACTCACATTCAGCGGCGGCGCCAAGATAACATGGTCCCCGGCATGTCCGTCCGCCGTCCCCGCCCCCGGATAGATGGCCAAGCCCAACCTGTGCGCCTGGTCCCTCATCTCACTCGCAAAGTGAAGATCCGGCGCCAACGGCTCCTTGGTCTCCTTGTCCTTGACGAACTCCAAGGCCCAGAATAGACCTCTGCCGCGGATGTCACCGACGTATCTCCTGGGCTCGAATCTTGTCCGCAGCTCCTGTTCCAGCCATTTGCCCTTTTCAGCACAATGGGCCACCAGACCATCCCTCCTTAATACTTTTTGCACGGCGAGAGCGGCGGCGCAGCAGACGGGGTGAGCTTGATACGTGTGTCCGTGGACAAAGGCGCCCGACCCCGAGGCCAGGACGTCGATGACTCGTTGGTGAGCGAGGACTCCGGCGATGGGTGTGTATCCGCCGCCCAGGCCTTTGCCCAGGGTGACCAGGTCCGGACGAACGTCCCCTTCCTGGGCAAAGGCAAAGTAGGTGCCTGTCCGGCCGGAGCCGCACATGACTTCGTCCAGAATCAGGAGGATGTCGTACTTGTCGCACACCCGGCGGACGCCCTCAAAGTATCCCCGGGGGGGAGTAATGCAGCCTACTGTCGCGCCGCCCACGGGCTCGGCTATAAAGGCCATGACGGTCTCCGGCCCGACGGCCCGGAACTCGGCGTCCAGCTCGTCCACCAGGCGCTGCGCGTATGCCTCTTCCGGCTCGCCTTGCTTCTGGAAGCGGTACGCGTACGTGGGACTGACGTAGCTGACGTTGTCGAGGAGGAGGGCGCCTTTGTAGGGTTTCTGCCTGGCAACGTGGCTGCCGACGCTCATGGAACCGATGGTGCTCCCGTGGTACGCCTGCCTCCTGGCGACGAAGCGTCTGCGTTGAGGCTGCCCTGCCTCGACCCAGTACTGTCTCGCGAGCTTCATGGCAGCATCCATGGCTTCGCTTCCGGACCCGACAAAGTACGCCCTGCACAGGCCATGGGGGTTGCCGTCCAGCAAGGTGCTGGCAAGCTCCTCTGCACTGTTTGTAGTGAATGCCAGGGTGTGGGCGTAGGCGACTTGGGACATTTGTTCCACGACAGCGGCTTTTACATCCGGGTCGCCATGGCCTATGACGGCCACGGCGGCACCGGTGCAGCCGTCGAGTATGCGCTGCCCGGTGGAGAGGGTGTAGTAGCTTCCGGAGGCAGAGGTGACTGTTTCAGGGCGGTGAAGGAGCAGGCGATGGAGGACTTTGGAGGATTTGGTCTGGTCAGTCATGTTTGGTCGGTGCCGCCAACTTTGCGGCTGTAAGTGTGGGATTATAAAACTAGTCTTGGGAGAGCTGTTCCACAGAGCCAGACTCTGCTATCAGGGAATGTAGGCTATCTGAGATGAGCTTGATAGCCATCGAGATGTGCTCCGCGGAGCAATTGGAGTCTTTAATAGTAAACAGAGTACACACGTTGTTTGCGCCCTCTGCCCCAGTTCTCTCCTCCCCCCCCTTTTCGACGAGGCCGCAGATTTGTGGCGCTGGCCTGCGATATCGGTTTTATGTGTCACGTCGGTGCGTATGCGGAGCGACCAGCTGCCCATTGCATGTACGAGAAGTTGACAATGGAAAATGACAGCAAAGCAGAACTGTAGATGCGGGCAACTGGGAGGTTGTGCTTCGGCAGTTGGATAGCCGTGGAACATTGGCGGCACGGCGACTTGGTTTGTCCAAACTGGAAGCGGCTGGAGATGCAAGTGGGAAACCAATACTAGTTGGGCATTAGGTATTCCCCTACAGACAAGTCGTAAACTCCTTCAACAAGGCGGCGTGTTGGCATCGAAGCCGCCTGGCCTAGACAGTGATGTAGACAGTGATGTGGGCGCAGAGTCTTTGCTCGTAAATCCAAGCTAATTACTCGGCAACTAGCCATTTGAATCATTGGCAATCAGCATGCCAGGCGGTTCGGTGAACAAATGCCATAATATGGTCTTGTACAGACACGGTTGACAAAGATTGTATTGTTCGAGTCGACACCAACCATCCATCCAAGCACACTTTGGCCTCGAATTGCTGCCATTCGCCACGGGCCACGTGCCAGGCAGTCACAGCCCAAAGTCTAAATAGTCGGCTGAGTAATTGCGGCCCCTGTCCCGCCTCCGAATAGCCTATTCGATTGGTCATCCGCAGCACGAACGTTTCGCAACACCACGCATCGGCGGTACCTAGAAGGCGTCCATCGTGTAGTTGGGGCCCCATCGCGTCCATATAAAAGAGACACTGCCATGAAATCAATTCAGTCATGGAGTGACCGCTCTTTCTCAGGGATATATAAAATCCACTCCCAGCGCCAGTCTCTCCAGATTTCCCGTTTCCACCGCGCCGCCACCATCTGCAAATCCCATCACCATCCAACCCTCAGTATCCCCCCCTCCAAAAAGAAACAAGAAGAGAAAGAAGAAAATGGCATACACTGCAGACCAAGTAGACCGCTACCTCCAGCACATCGACTTCCCGCCCTCCAAACACCCCCCGGATGCGCTCCAGCGGCTCACGCAGCTCGTAGCCCGACAAGTCGCCCGCGTGCCGTTCGAGTCCTTTGCGCTGCACTACTCGCAGCACAAACGGCTCTCGCTCGACCCGGAGGCGCTCTTTGAAAAGATTGTCGTGCACGGCAAGGGCGGGTACTGCATGGAGCTCAACGCCTTCTTCGGCGGCATGATGCGCGGCCTGGGATACCGCGTGCTCAACGCCGGCGGCAGGGTCAAGACGCCCGCCGGATACACGGGATGGTAGTTGAACACGCATCGCCTGCCTCTTCCCATACGAAAACCCATACAGCTGACTCCTTCTCTCGCATCTACAGGAGCCACATGGTCAACATTGTCACCATCGGCGACACCCGGTACAACGTGGACGTCGGGTTCGGCTCGCACGAGCCCATGCGGCCCATCCCCCTCCGGCACAACTACACATTCACCCAGATCGCGCCGCGGGAGGGGAGGCTCGAGCACCGGAGCGTCTCGCAGCACACGGACGCCTCGCAGCGCGTGTGGGTGTACTCGACGCGCGAGGACGCCTCGGCGCCGTGGGAGGAGCGCAACATGTTTGTCGAGACCGAGTTCTTCCGCGCCGACTACGAGGCCATGAACCTGAGCACCATGTCCGCCGCCACGAGCTTCTTCGTGCAAAACGTCATTGGCATGAGGGCCGTGCTCGACGCCGCCGGCGACGTCGCCGGCGTCTACACGCTCTTCGGGGCCAGGGTCAAGAGGCACATGAGGCACGCTGAGGCCGAGGTCGTGGCCGAGCTGGCCGACGAGGACGGCAGGGTGAGGGCCATTGACGAGTACTTTGGCGTGAAGTTGACGGCCTTGGAGGCGAGGGGCATCAGGGGTCTGGCGACCGAGTTGAGGGACAAGAGGACCGAGTAGAAGCGAGTTTTTCTTTCTCTTCCTTTCTTCTTTTGCCCGCTAATCGTAGACTATGCTACCTCGACGACGGTCCATGTTTTCGACCCGGCCAAAACTTGGTCGCCGAGCCTGTACGCCCTCTCCAGCGCCTGCTTGCACGGCAGCTCTTCCTGGCCCATTCTTACGGTCCGCACCGCCTGGGATCGCTTCCACTCCCACCTCTCCAGCGAGATTTCCTGTCCGCTCCTGACGAAACCCTGGGAATACCTGCCTAGCCTCACCACCAAGCCCCGGGTTGGTCCCTCTTCGTACCTGAGCACGGCGCATACCTGCTCCGAGGCCGTCGGGGCGGGCTCCTCGTCGTCCCAGATTTCCTCATAGGCCGTCTCACGGCCCGTATCGGGGTTGACCATGCGCCCCTTTTCGAGCGTGCTCCCGTCGGGCTGCGGATACATGTCGCCTTGGTCGGAGGCTGTTTCGGGCTGGCTTGTTCGTGAATCAATCCAGTGGTCCCATCGGGAGTGTGACACTTGCTTGCCGTCGACGGTGCGGCTGCTTGACGAGGACGTTCCTGCGATGGCCCAGTCGAGTCTTGACAAAGGCAGTGTATCTATCTCCGTTGGATTAGCTTCTGCCGTCATCTACCTAGTCGGCAGCTGGAGGTGGCAAGCTAGGGGAATTATAAGTGCTTTGCATTGGGACTATACTACTGTACCTTGGGCGCTTGGCAGAGTACCAGGACCGTCCTTCAATATTCGTAAATCTACAAACCGGCGTTGCGGGGAAGTCAATACAATGGTTGATGTGGGCTCGCTTGCTTCCCCGGGGAGCCATCGGATGCATCTACGAGTAGAAATACTCATGCCGATTGTGATGTGAGAATGTGAAGCGAGTTGACGTCTGATGTCGGCCGGGTGATGTTTGATGTTAGATTTGGGTTCGTATTGACAGGCTGCGCAAGGGAATTCAGTCCCGATGTCGGACCGACACCCCGCGATTCACACACTGGTCCTGTCCGCTTCGAGGGAGAGACGCCGACTCCTCGGACATTGGGATGGCATTCTACAAGGTGTTTACTCAAGCCAAATGCCATTTCAAACATGACATCCAGACTACTAGCGGGTTTTCACATCAACGAGTCAACCTACGGTGTACTACAATGTGACGGCATTAACGTCTTGTTGCATGGACACAGACTCCGACAGTCATAGAACGCCAACAGTCTCCGTAGATACACTGTTGATATACAGCAACACAGCAGTGTCGTACCAGCAAACAACAAACAGCCAGGCGTGGCCAGGGGAAACTTGAAAGTCTCGTAACTGCACACAAGTGCCTCTGTTTCTTTGTCTTCTCTCGACACACGGCCGAGATAGTACATGGTTGCTCGCAGACTCAATGCGGCAACCAAGGATGGTAGGGTATCTCTCTCATCATCATATCAAAGACCGAGAATACAACAGCGAAAGCATGCTCAAAACAATACTTTGTACAACAAATGCAATCAAGATGTGCTTTTTCGGCATCAAATTTCTGAAACATGGTCCATCTCTACGACTGAGGTGCGCTTGAGAAGTTGGTGATCTGGGTCGTAATAACGAGACCAGCGACCGTAGCCGATGTTAACGTAGCAACAACACCAGAGATGAGAGCCGAAACAGCCAACTTGGAGACATCGCCACCACGAGACGGAGCAAGCTGCCCGAGGATACCAATTTGAATACCCAAGGAGCCAATGTTACCGAAGCCACAAAGAGCATAAGTAGCAATAAGTCGAGAGCGAGGGGAGAGTCCGGCATAAGTTTTGTCCTTGGTGAGATCGAGGAAGCCGTTGTATTCATTCTATAACTCCATTAGCAACGGGCTCTGTAAAGAAAGGAAAAGAGATGCGCGGGTTTGTGTGGGCAAGAGGCCAGAGAAATCGAGGACTGTGGCAATCATTGGGGGGAGTGCATGGTCACTTACGGTGATGATTTTCTGAGCAATCAATCGGGCCACCAAGAGAATGTCATTATTGTCTCGGGGGACGCCCAAAAGGAAGGCCACAGGGTAGAGTAGATATCCAAGAATGGTCTGTAGAGTCAAGGTAGGATCATTAATATTGAGGTATCGGCCCCACCAAGTCATGAGAGCATTGATCAGGCCAACAAAAGCGATGATGCAGAGTAGTGAGGCGATAATTGTTGCGCCAATCTTGATACCGAGCCAGGAGCCATTGGCAAAAGCGTGTAGTGCGTTCTCAGCCTTGTGCTCGTCGTCATCGGGGATAACGACACGTCCAGCGGTGAGAGTTTCCTCGGTTTCGGGGTATCGCAACTTGGAAATAGCCAGAGAAGCAGGAATAGACATAATACAGGATGAGACCAGAGCCTCGGCGTTCAAACCAAGCTTGATATAACCAACAAGGACGGAGCCGGAAATGGTAGCGAAACCGCACGTCATAATCTGATGCAATTCAGCCTTGGTCATATGAGGAACAAATGGTCGGACAAGCATTGCAGATTCTCCCTGTCCTATGAATGGGGTAGCAGCAGCGACAATAGCCTCTGCGCCAGAGACTCCCAATGCCCAAAACACAAAGGTGGCAAACTTCTTGATGAACCACTGAAGAAAGCCAATGTAGTATAGAACCTGCACCAGAGAGATGAAGAAGATGATGGCAGGAATGACACTGAAGAAGAACCATGGGGTCTGGGAGGTCTCTTCGGACGTCAGGAAGGCCACACCCTGGCGAGCAAAACCCAAGAGATCACCGGCGCGATCGGCGATGAACTTGAATATGTCGTAACCGACGCCGGTTCGCAGGACAAAGAGTCCAATGATGTACTGGGCCAACATGCCGGCAATAACAGTTCTCCAATTGATGCGGCTGCGATGCGCGCTGGTTGCCCAGAAGACGAAGAGCATGACGACCAATCCGAAAAGACTGACTGCACGGTTGGCACGAGTATTGTCGGCAACTTCTTCTGAAGCAAAACTTCCAACTATGATGACTGCCAGAGCTCCAAAAGCACCAAGAGGGATCCGGAAAGCAGCGGGGATCAGTTCATAAACGACCAGGACAGTGTGGCTCCATACCCAACGAATGGCGGTTGACAGATATCGACTGGGGACGTAGTAAAAGAAAAGACGCAGAGATATGGCAAGCCACAGCAGAAACGGAACCACCCAATTCTTGTCGTCCCTATGCAGGATGAGAGAAGCTATCCACCAGCCAGTGAAGAAGAGAAAGTAGACGAGGTGGAAGACTGGGCGGTATCGTCTATAGAAACCCGTGAATCCACCGCCGGATTCCCTATGCCTATGGTCAGTTGAGCCGGAGCCTCGTCCAGTGCTCACCAGGCCAGCCTCGGCCTTCTCATTATCACTGTACTCGGGCAGGTTGAGAGGTTCCTTCTTGTCGACGCCGTGTGCGTGGTGGTTGTCTCCATGCTGTTGAGCGGGGATCAGGGAAGGGTCCATGGTGGTCCCTGAGGTGTACACAGCGTCGTCATGGCCGCCAGCGGCATCGATACGAGCAGAGTGGTGATGATGTGAATGCGTGTGTTGGTTCGCAGGGTTCAAGGCTGGGTCGGGATTGTAGTCCATGCCTGCAATTGGCGTGTGGTGTTGGTTCTGCAGGGGCGCCGCCACTTTGTCGCCAGCATTGGCTAGGGTGTTTGTCTCCCCAGCCATGATTGTCTCGAGTAAGAAGCTTGAAAAGTTGCAGCTGTTGAAACGCTGCAAGACAAACAAACCAAGTTATTCGGTCCTCGCGATATCGCGTGTTTCTGCTGAATCACGCTGCCTTGTAATTGGAAGCGAAGGGTTGAGAGGACAGGCTTTTGGGAATGCTGAGCGCAGAGTTTTGGGCTGATGAATTTTGTCTCGTGCCCTTTTTTTTCTGTCTCTTGCTACCGAGGCGCCACAAAAGTTTTTTGCGACGCGAAGGTGAGCAGGTACGGCGAGGCACTCCGGCTTCGAGTACACTCGTGAAGACGAAAAAAAAACCAATAAACAGATCCGGTCTGGAGGACCTAACGTACCTAAGGCAGACACAGATGAGGAGGGAAAAGAGAAACATCGCACTGGCGAGACAAGAGGACTTTTTGTACCCGCACGGCGATTCCGCAAAGCATTAGCAGGACGATAGGACGACAGCACAGGCTTTGGGAATGTGGAGCAAACGATAACTAGACCATAATGAAAACGATGTACTCCGCACAATAATAACTACTACATAAAACAGCCTCCGGAACTAGCTCTGCATCTGGAGAAGGGCCTGCTGTAACTCCATCCGGGCAGCCAAGCCACTTTGCACTCACTGATGCCGCTCCAAGCGGAGACCAGATGAGGGGACTTTGGGGACCAAAAGCCGCGACCTACCGACACCACCACCAGGTTGTGCAAAATAATGAGATGGTGGGCCGTCGAAGAAAAGAAGGCCCCCAGCTTTCTGGCCGAATCGACTCTCAAGGGTCGCCTAGCTGCAGGGATTGGTTATTCAGGCCTGGACCCCGGACAACGCCAGTACACGGGCATGCATGATCCCCGGGGATCCCAACTGACTACTATTCCCAATCCATCAATATACCCGCGCTTCTGTTGGTGATGGTGGTCGGCCTCGGTGGCCCGATTCAGCTTACAAGGTCTGATATCAGTTGTATTGTGTATTGTGTATTGTATGTATGTACAATGCTGATATGAGGCCATTTCTTGGACAAAGCGTTGACACCGAGGATCCTTCGGAAAATAGGTATCCTTGAGAGGAGGGGTGCGTGGCCTCATAGGATGCAGCGCGTCTCCCGCAATACTTGTATGACCTCATAAGACCGGGTTATATCAGCAGACCATAGCCAAATACATCCTGCCAGACATACGGAGTAGTACCAAGGATAAAACGAACCTCAAAATTTGGCTGGTCGCAGGCCAGTATTCCACTTCCAGAAAGGGACGGGGAGCCGTCAAAAGTGCCCAAGGCTAGCCCCATGCTCGTCTGGAGGTGGCGTCTTCTGCTGCGGTTCGTCGCTGGTCAAGGCCTCTTGGGCGTTTAACCGTTCTGTCTCTCGGCGGTGGCGGCGGCGCCGGCTTATTTCTGATATGCACCGTCCCTGATTCCATGAACCCACTGCCACGATAAGACTAAGAGCTCTGGGGGCGAAGGCGGCTGGCAGAGTAAGCAACGGTGGCACTTTGCCTTCCGCTACAAGGCGTCGGGTTTCCCCTCCGATGGCGCTATGGTTTGTGGGAAAGCGTTGAAATCCTTGCCAACCTTGGACGACGACCAGAATCGCTTTGCCAGGGCCCGGAAAACCACTACGGCCAGGCTCGCCCTTTACAACGAACTGCAATCGACATCCTGCGGGTGGGAAGCTTACTGTTTCTGGAAGGTTCAAGGATTATGCGTCCTGTTGTTGTTGTTGCTGTTGTTGTTATCTGAAGTCTTTGACAGAGAGCGTCTCAGCCACGACCATCAATTGTTGGCAACTTGGCAGTCCACGTACCAGACAGTTAATTCGGACATGAACTGGCGCCTCGCCATTGGCCCATGGACAGACCACTTATGACAGTTTGTTCTGACTCGCGCCCATGTGAACCATACCATCCATGTCTTGCTCCTTCCCAGAAACAAAGCTACTCCTCGGGAAGCAGCTCGGGAAGCAGCTCGAGCGTTGTTTCCTTTATCAAATTGCGCACGCCGTGAGGCTGGGGTTTGGAGTGGACAGATAGCCATCGATGGATAGCTTCATATCTTCTCCTGTTGATGTCGCAAATCGTCCAAGTCACAATCGGGACAGGCTCTGAGATAGCAAACCCCACCGAAACAAGCCCCCCCAAGAGAAAAATATTGCCCCGGTGCTAAAGTTGATAAGCAACAGCGGCTTACTCCCCAACACCGGTGGCGTCCCGTGCAATATGGCGTTCGACAACCGTTCTCTGATTTCGCGCCTTCACACAATTCGAAATCTATCTCCAATGGCGAAGCGATTCGCGCCCCTTGCCAAACCCCGTCGCTGGCCTCTGCTACGTACCCCATCATTGCTCAGTCATCACCCCGGCTGGATGTCCTCGTCAATCAGATACCCATTTATCCCGAATCGTTCAACAACACCGAAGGTCCCTGATGCAGTCAACAAACGGCGGCAACATTGCAACCTGGAGATGGAAGAGGTAGAACTAGGGCCTGGGCTTCTTAGTTGCCTGGGTCCTTGGACCAAGTGATAAGCGTCAGTCGGCCCCGAGCTTACCGTCGCAGCGCGCCAGCCTCGTGAGTTCATGGAAACAGGGGTTACGAGTTGTGAGCTCCCAGGTCCTGATCTATCTCATCTGCGGGAGAGAATTGGTAGCTTGGTACTCGAACTAGACTGTTTCGGAGTGAAGTAATTAGCGTGGACGGCCACGTCCGCCAACCACACAGCAACCTGCTCCGATGGGAACCTTTGATCGGAAACCTGGTTAATGCATACAATGTGGCGGCAAATCACGGCCAATTTTCTGATTTGATCAAGGCTTTCGCCACGTTGACTCTGCCATCTGTTTGACTGCTAAAGAGACATGCAGACCCTTTGGCCAGTGGCGGCTTCTCCAGCTTCCTGTCTTCTTGCCAGCCAGGTCAACTCCTTTCTTGTCGTGCTACCAAGCACTGCTATTCGGTCAGGGCTACTCCGTACTCCGGACCATGATATTAACTTGCCACATGATTCCTCCCACCCAGTCAAGAGAGGCCCATTTACAGTCTGACAGTCGGTACCAAGGCGCCTGTAACTGGTGGGGGGTGAGTGGGCAAACGAGAAAGTCGACTGGGCACGCGACCTGGAAGGGATTCTCGGCTCAAACTCGACTTCTCCGCAGCCTCGGGTGCAACACCAATGGGGAAAATGGTCAAGGATAAAGACAAGCTTTGGATTCGACGTTCGCACAGAAAGCGGAACGAGGCAGCTCGCTAGACATTAATAAGCCACCAAGCTCATGAAGACACGATCGGGGCCCGGTAAATCTGAGAAGATATCAATGCGTCGGGGGAATATACATACTTGCATGGCATGTGCAGAATCCGCCCAACTGCATCTACCAAATTTGCTCGTGTTTCTTTTACTACAAGTCATGTGGAGACGCCAGTTCGCATTGTACGGAGTACTACAACATGATTTTTTTCCAATTGTGCCACGAGATCTTGAGGGCTCTGCCGGCGGGGCTCAAAAACGTGTCCCCGATTACCCCGTGAACTAGTCTTGGAAGCATGGCATTTCATAAAGTCGGCATCTCCAAGTCCGGCGATAGGCTACGGTTGCGGTTGTACCTTGGAGGACCCAGCGATCACGCGAGGCTGTTTCGAACAATAACTCGACAAACAAGAATGTTTATCCCCGCAAATCGAGCATTGGTGTGGGTCGAGCCGAACCTCTTCCCCAGCCAGCATGACCATGACCATGACCGCACGACCATCGGTCACCGCCGTGCCGTCGTCGAAAGCTCCCTCAAACAACCTTCTCCTTTTGTCGTCAACGACATGCATGAGCCATGTGTCGACCACCCTGAGAATTCCCCGGTGCTGCATGAATGCAAGCGTGGTTGCTTGCCTCTTCGCTTGTCGACGCATATATGGCGGATGGAGGGTTGGGCGGAGATGGCCGTCACGTTCCCCATACCCCAGAGTCCCAGGCTACTTATGCAACGAAACTAAGTTCGCACGAGCCAACACGTCTGTCTAGGCTTGCGTTTACGTATTCATCTTGGAGTACTATTGAATCACGCCTTCCCACCAACATGCTTCAAGACCTGTGCTCGGGAGGCGCATTCGGAATCAAGCCACTTTTGCGATTGACACCACACCCCGGCTTTTTAGCCCTCCCCCGTGGCTAATGGAATATTTCCTTCCAACTCCCAACGTTGCTGGCACTTCACTGAAACAACGTGATGCAAAACGTGAAAATGGACGGCATACACCACCAGCGAGATTGTATTCAGCTGTGGCTAGATAATTCACGACGGGGTAACAACATCACAAGGCATTGGGCGGAGACTGGAGTCAATTGTTTTGCTTTTTTCTTTCTCTAAACCAGTGGCTAACAACATCCGCAACAACCTTCATGTAGTAGTGTCTCATTGATACAGGAAAAACAGGATAATTCTACTCTCCAAAAATACATTCTTCATCGCATGATTCTTCATTCCGCCCGTGTCATCGTGAGAAACATCAATTTCACAGGGTATTGGTTACTCCCCTCCTCTGAACCTGCGATTGAACTCCTCAACGGCGACACCAATCATCTTGTACAGGTACGCTCTCTCACTTCCGCCTCCAACTGGAATAAAAGGCCCATTTGCTCCTCCTCGCAAGACAAGGCTCACACCGGTTCGTTCCTTGGCAATCGTCTGGATGTCCTTCAAAGGCACGTCCCACTCGCTGGTTAGTCGTTTAGACCTAATAAGCAGTATACGAGCAAATGTGACCATGACGACCATATCTTCCTTGGGCAATTCTAGATGGCCAATGTATTGCTCGTCAAAATACCTTCCGTTGTCCACTTGCTTCAGCCAGTACTGCCCCATTGCCTCGCGGCTGTTGTACGGTCGAACAATTCCATCGTTTGGAATAAACCGCGGGAATCGTATGCGATCGAGTTCCTGGCCATCGAATACAGTCGTAGTATTGCGAATGCCTTCGCTGACATTGCTTGCCATGTCCAAAACGCCAACAGCAGGTTTGGTTGCCAGACCGAGCACCCCCTTTCCGACTCCTTTGATAAACCCAAAAGCACCTTCCTGCTCTGCGCCTTCAAGCGGCTTTCGAGCCAAGCCGCCTACACCCGACGCAAGACTTGTAAGCAATGAGTTGGCACCAGCGGTGACACCAGTCAGCGCATGCTTTGGTCGGTTTCTCGCTTTCGTAATGCGTCTCCGGTCCTGGAATTGCTTGTCCAGTGATGCTGCCGCGAGACCCTTGCTCAGACTACCAGTGAACTTGGAGAAGCTGTCGCTGAAGCCAAACACAGTCTTTTTTGCAAACGAAGCGGCACCCTTGGCAATTCCATATCCAAACTCTTCTGGTTTGTCCGAAAGAATAAGTCCTTGGTATGGTTCGTAAAAGATGTCAGTGACACCAGAAGAGATGGTGGTAAAGAGGCCCACGGGGTTGCCGAGGAAGTCAGCAGAGCCCAGAATCTTGTGAAGCTGAAACATAACCTCTTGGCTGTAGTGGTTTGAGATGTTTTGTATAAGTACTGGTGTTGAAACGCGTACATTATCCAATATCAGGGCGTTGAATCGAATCGGCGCATCATTGACGTTTCCAATGGCCATTGTCAGGACATTCACGAAGAACATGATGGGATTCCGTGATGAGGTCTTGTCTTCCGCATTGATACGCTCAGTGCGCATGAAACTCAGATCGATTTGCATAGGCTGAATGTTGAGCACTTCAAAGTAAATGTCTTGACCACCCTGCTGTTGGGAAGGCTCGGGAATGTCCAGATCCTCGTCACACAGTTTACCTTCCTGCTCCACCTTGGACCAGCTGGCGCCAGGAACATTAGAGAAGTCCAACAGCGCAAACGCAAAATCCTCATCGAGTTCAACCGTCATTTGTTGAAGAAGAATGCTGGCATACTTTATATAAGTAACGCCGTACGACTCATCCTTGACGCGGCTGACCATCGCATGAAGAGACGGATGGGCATCCACCTCGTTTGCCCTTTTTGGTACCACACTGGGGTAAAGGACCATTGGGAAGATGCCGCCGTAGAGCTGATTGTCAATTTGCATCCATTGAACTGCCAGTGATACCGTCTGAATCAGAGGCGAGTCGCTGAATCGCAATTGCACATCTCTAAATGTGATATAGGCCAACTCCTTCAGCTGAGCATTGATCAACGAGATGCCAATGCCCGAAAGCTTGAGTTGGGCCCGGAATGTTGCGCCTGTATCTTGATCCTTGACTTCGAATGCTTCAGGGCCGCTGGTGGTTCTTGAAAGAGCCTTAGGTCTATACATACTTCTACTCTGTCGGAAGTTGCTCAGAATAAGTGTTTGTGTCGGCCCATCCGCTGCAACATTGATGTCGATAATCTTCTGGTCGCCAGAGGTAGTGATAAACTTCATTGGAATTTGGTTGCCGATTTCAGCCAACTTGACGTGACGCTCCTTGTTGTTCGTGGTGATGACAACTTCCCTGAATTTGGCCGCCGGAAAATCCCATGCGTACGGCATGATGCTTCGAGGAGGCAGCCTATACCGTATAGGCCGCCAACCGCTTCCGTCTTCAACATCATCCTCGTCAACGTTCGGGTTGGCTTGATAGAAGGTAAACTCTGTATCACTCTCGTTGCGCATTGAGAATGGCCAGTTCTTGGTCTCCATGCTCAGGTGAAGGAAGATTGTCGAATCTTCAAGCAGAATTTCAACCCGCAGCAATCGTTGGCGTTGACCAGCCTTTGCTATTTTGACGTGTGTTGTTCCAATGTCGGCGATGTTGAATGGAGATGTCCAATGGTTATCAACACCAGCATAGCAAAGGCAGAGTTGCTTGACCGCCGACTTTTGCATAAAGTGTAGTGGTTGCAATGCGCCAGGCTTCAATGTCATGTAACCAGACGAGCTCGACTCCCGAACCAATATTTCCTCGCCTAATTTGTTCTCAAGCACAAATCGAGGTGCCAGCGTGACAACCTTGGTCATTTTGTACTTTCCTTCGCCGGATTTGACAGTGATACCAACGTGGATTTCCTTGGTTTTGGAGGCAGAGTTCAAAACAACCTCGGACGTGCTTCCAACGGCATCAAAACTTTGAGGTTTGCTCCATTCCGACTCATCGACTTTTAGTAGCGCTCGATTGCGATTATCATCATTTCCATACGAAAACATGAATGGCAGAGCCTTTGGTCGTTCACGGTCCGAGGTATCAACAAGCGGGAACTGACCTGCAGCCGGTTTCGCTTGCTGCAAAAAACTCTTCATACGAATTCGGAGGTCAAGGCCAGTCTTGTTGAGAACAACATAGGGACTGTACACAGTAATCTTAAACGCACCTCCACTATTGGGGATTTTGAAGTAGTGCAGCGCCAGGTTCAACGGCAACCCTTGGTCATCTTTGACAACAATCCGGCTTTCCTTTCGGAAGTCCTCAACGTTCCCAGAATTAATGATTGAGAAATCGCTAGGTTTAAAGACGGTATCTTGCATGTCGATACTCAACAGTAAGAGGTGTGAGAGCTCCACGACGTGCACTGGACTCACTCCGCCTTTGCGCAAGAAGTTTGACCAATCCTTTTTCGTGTTCTTGTCGTAAATTCTGTACTTGAAGTCATAGGGCAGTAGGTTCTCAAGGGTAACAGGGGCGGACAACTTGATCTTCATATGCGGGTATATTCTACGGAGTCGGTTAGCCATCTTGGGTAAGAGCCTCGTCAATCCTAATACTTACTTCGTTATAGGGTTGGATCTGTCAAACTGGGCGTGGGCCTGGAAATAGAACGGATCGCCATTCTCTCCATTACACACAAGCTGCTTCGTTGGTCTCTGCAGCAAATCCCTCCACCAAAGCTGGTCTCGACTCCATTCGTAGCCGAAACCACCGTCGGGCCGGATCAGAGCACGTTTCTCGAACACAGCGCCAACAGGCGCCGGCCGAGAATCGCCAGGTGCAATCTTCTCAATCTTGAGCAGGTGACCTTCTCGGGCATCATAGACGCCAAGTTCAACCGGAATCTCTGTCGCATTCTCCACGACGAGTGGTGACCGCAACGTAACATACTTTACATTATCGGATCCCAACTTGACCTCGACACAGAGGCGGTGTAGAATGTTCTCCGTTTTTGGTCGTAAGCCATACAAAAATTCACCCTCCCTGTTAAGCTTAACGCTCTTGATGAGATCGAATCCACTCCCTTCAAGTTGAATGCCAACCCCATCCTGGCTAGATTCGGTGAGCAGATTCTCTCTCATCTTCTCCCAATGCTCAAAACTCCAAGGTTGTTCAGCCCCATCCTCGAGTCGAAGACCCATAGGCTCCTCACTACTAGGGCTCTTGGAGTGAAGTACCACATCGAAGCCTGTATAGTTCCTGATACGATAAGGTGCCTCAACTCCTCGTGGCTTATCAAGGACATTTTGCTCGGAAGTCAAAAATGTCAGGGACTTGGAGGCCAAGGCAATGGATGCTGTGGTGATAGTAATATCAAAAGTCTTCTTCGATGCCACGTCAACGGATATCAGCCCAGACGTTGGGTCTTTTGCTACACCAAGGCCAACATGCCATGGCTCTAGGAGTGGTTCCCAACTTGACTTGGCGAAATTGTAAACACTTGAATACATATTAATCGCGGCCTCTGCCTTAAGATTCGATGACCAATTCTCAGCAGTAGCCGTAAAGTTGTTGACGCCAATGTCAAGAATAGGCAATTCATGCAAATCACCAATGAGAACAATACGCACTCCATCAATAGTGGCAGAGAGCTCCTCGCGATCAGGTACCGTAACTGGTTGTGGCTTTGTTGGTGGATGAATTGTTCTTCCAGTAATAGTCTTCGTGCCCCTGGTTTTGGCAATTGTCGATTGGCCACGTCCACTGGCAGACTTGTATTTCAATCCGGCATTTCGTAGTTCTCTAGCTTTCTGTTCCGCCGCTGTTTCCGGCGGATCCTTTGTCTCGTTTCCAGACAGCTCACTAGCTCTACTGATAATCTGCAAAATCAGGAGGATATCACGGAGAGAAAGGCGCAGAATGAGGGGCTCCACGTCAATATGAATGCCGGTCACCCCAACCTGTGAGTTGTCCATGTTTAATTGAATGGAAAAGTCATCAATGATGCGCAGGCGAGAGGTGTCAAACTTATCCATTCGGCACCAGAACATGCCGGTTTCCGAGATCTGGAAGGTTAGGGCATGCTGTTTAGAGAGCAGAACCTGTCGAATACTCAAAACGATCGCCTCGGAGCTTGATGACAATGGGTCTGCAATGAGGATAACCTGAGCATCCACTAGATTGACTCGAAACGCCATCGACATTGTTGACTCCTCTTTCTGTTTCTGAGACTTATCCGGAGACACCTCGTTTCGCTGCCGAGAAGCGTGAGACTGTGTCCGCTCCGTGCCAGGGGCATTGTAAGTGACCTGCATCGAATCGGTGTCGGACTCATCAACTGTTTCTCCAATACTTTCATCATCCATTGGGCTGGTATCATCCACGGCTAGACCTTCAGTTATGTATTTTTGAATCGCGAACAGATGGTCGAGTGCGAAGATAATTCGAGGGCTGTCAATAGTAGCCATGGCAATCAAGCTCCGTTCCTTTCCACCAGACATGGTCACACTCGCCATCAATTGCTGCGCTTCCTTGTTGGAAGAGGTCATAATTCGCCGATACTTGGTTTCTTGCCGACGACTGTCTTGGATTGTGAAAGACTGAATAAGCAGTTCTGCCTCAAGAGAGCCGTCAGACAGCATTCTTGTTTTGAACCTTGTATCATCTAGTGAGAACCTCGACAAACTTGATTTAGCCAAATCGCCAACCGGTTCATCTTCCTCGGCCATGATGAGTTCAAGAGCAACAGTGTTGACTTGAAATATGAAGTCAAGCTTCGTCCACGCATTTTGCAGCGAGCTGAGTTCCGGTGAGAGGTCAATCAAGCTCTGATCATGACTATTGTTACCGTTACCAGGAGCACCTCTAGCGCGCTGCAGCGTCCCTTCATCCACCATTCGCGCCGCCTCTTCATCAGAATCATCTCCTTCGCCCGCTAAAGCTGCGGGAACGGACTTTGAAATCTCCATAAGAGTCTTGAGTTGGTATTGTGTCAAACGAAGCTTGATGTCCGAGAGAGTCCCTTCAATTTCCGTATCAGGTCGCTTTACGCCTTCTTTATGTTCTATATACGTAATATTGAGGCCCAGATCCACACCATCGATCATCTCAAGCTCTTCCGATCGGTCCTCGGAATAGTGGAAGTCGGAGGTGAGGCGCACGTTTCTGATGCCTGCTGAGATTTTCATGGCAATGTCGGAGTTCTTGCTATCATCCAGGGGAACAAACTTATTTTGAGCGTAAATCTCGCCCAGGTACGCCGTGATGGCATCTCCTTTGTCTCGTTCAGACACGTAGAGGCGAGGGAAAACGACAATCGGTGTCTTTACAACAACATCAAATCTGATCCTGCTCGGGCTCTGCTGGATCTGATTGGCACGAGTCACAGCGGCCTGGCGGGCAGCATTGTACAAGGCTTGCATTTTGCCAAATTTGACAAGAAAATCAATAATCTTGCGGAAAGGCTCCTCGACAAAGTTAACCTTGACAGACCCAGCTCGGAGAAAAACTGAGCTGTCGTATCCAGGATAAGCCTTCTGGTTTTCAGGGTCGAATGTCTGGTACCTGAAGTCTGCAAGGTCATCACCTTGGATTGTAACAAGCTTCCGAAGACTCGAATCAGCCGAGACGCCAAGGTTTACATCATCAACCAGTGACAAGTCACCCAGTCTAGCGGAGATGCGCATCGCTTTTCCACTGATATAGATGCCGGCATCACCATGGTTGAATGAGAGGGTGGCCAACCTGATACCATCGTTATTGAGAATAAGGCGGATGGCCTTCAAGTCAACCTTGACACGAATCGACCCAACATTTCCATTGGGCTTTGGGGCGTCGACAATGCTCTGCTCAAGCTGCGGTTCGTCGCTGCCTTCCCCTGCCGCAATGGTTGGTGCCGATGGAGCTTCTTGATCGTTATTGCCACCCGTAAATGTGATCAAGATGAAATCAAGAAGAGTCAAGAGCGTTTTACGAGTGACGACAATGTTGATAGTTGATATAACAGCAGTGATGTTGGTCTCCACACCCTCGTACACCGGCATGAATTCTGGCGACTGTCTATTGATCTTCATGAATTTTACATGAACGAGGCTTCGCCCTGCTTTCAAATCTTCGCTATCTCCAGAAGAAACAATAGACTTGAACTCTCCAGGGGGGTTTTCGACAAAATCTTCGACCGCAACGGAGCCCAGCGACACTTCGGCTGCCATATCGTACGTTCTGGTATAAAAGGCAAGATCAAAGCGCTCAGCCACAAGCTCAACGAGAAGCGTGTCGGGTTTGGCGCGGTCTGGGTCGCTTCTGTAGAGTGAGCCCTTGAGTGTATCGACTTTGAAGTTAAATTCAAAGCTCCTTTGTTGGATTTTTAGTTGCTGCCCGTCCACTCCGTCCGTCGCGTCTTCGAAGTCGTCTTCATCGTCGTCGATGTCTTCGAGTATTACAGCACTCTGTGGTTGCATAAATGGGAAAGCAGAGGATTGTCGGCGTTCTCGTTGAGACCTTCTTCGCGATCGTGTAGAATTAGCACTAAGAAGCCGTGGTCGTTGCTGAAGTGTTTGACTATTCTCAGAGGACGGTTCTGGTTGTTGACTTTGTCCTAATTTTGGAATTGCCGCGTCAATAACCTTCATCAGGTTCTTGTATTTCGAGTCAGATACAGTCGCGTGCAACATTGGAAGGTGACCAGAAACTCGTAGCTTTGTAAGATTTGGAGCTTTGGGTAAAATGGAAGTTTCAACGACGAAGTCGACATTGATTTTTTCCACGACATGTAGCTGAGAGTCCGCACTTTTCTTAACCAGTTGCTTCTTGGTTTCTTCGATCGATGGACCAATGAGTACTTGTGTTGATGTGAGCTTGACGATAAATTTGTCGTACATTGCCGATTCGAGGCGCTGAAAGTCAGCCTCGCTGTAAGATTGCCGTTGCTTTGACTGGATTTCGTTCATGGTCTTGTTATCTACCAATTGACTGTTGACATGAATATGGCCAGCATCAACAATCAAGCAAGTTGAGTTCGCAGTCGTGATGCTCACGGGCACGATGATGAGCGGGGCCTGTAGATCTAGCTCAGCATTCACAGTTTTGTGCTCTTCGAGGGCAAATTCCAGCCCTGCACGAGTTTGCTCTCTGATACCCTCAACGGTTGCGCCAGCGCTTTCCATCAAAGCTGTGATGGATTCCATGTGCCTCTCTGGCGGCCGGAAGAAATCAACAATGCCAACAACAAAGTTGGGATTCCATACGACTTCAAGAGGTTTTAGTTTTCCGACAATGGCAAAGTCACCCTCGCGTTCTATAGGATTCTTTTCGATTTCGAACTGGAAGAATGGCTCTTCCTTGTCAATTTCCAGCTCCTTCAACGATAGGCTCTTTCGTTTCCTGACCTCAGGAGCATCCTTGACGCGGACAATCTCGGGGTACAGACTGTCCGGGGTCGTTCCATCATTCACGCGTAGGCCGCCGAGACTGATATTGGCCAATACGGAGTCCTTTCGCTGAAGTGCTTTTGCCTTGAAGACATCGAAGTGAAGACTCAGAAGATCGGAAGGATTATCATGCGGGCTTTTCTTCAATGTAAAACTGCCCGTGCTCAAAGAGGCCTCAAGACATAGCTTTACAGCCTCCCTAGGGACGTCTACTTCCTCGGCCAGTGCTTGCTTCTCGTCCCATTCAATCATTTCATACAGTTCCTTTCGCTGCTCCTCAGTCATCTGAGTATTTTCTTCGTTTTCTTCTATCGTCCCCTGAGGCTTCGATCCCCACATCCAAGCTAGCCAGCCTTGCTGTTGTTGTTGCAGCTGGGGCTGCTTCCTTAGGGCTTCCGCATTTTCTTTCTTGAGCTGGTTTCGTGCCAACGATCTCCAGAACCGGAGATCTTCATATTCCAACTTGCACTCAAGCTTTCGAAACTCTTCACTTTCTTCTGTTGTGAATTGCTGCTGCTGTTTCTGCTTCATGAACAGCTCAATGTATCGCTGTCGATCGTCGCGTCTTTCTCGGAAATAGTCCCAGGACCACTTGCGGTTCCTTTCATGTATCTTATTTAGGACAGCATTACCGGCAAAGAGGAGCCAGGCGCGAGGATCTTCCTTGGGCCGCACACCTTTCGGTTTCAATGACTTGTACTCCTGGTGACGAATGAAGTAATGGAACAAATCCACCATCATCAGCGCATCGCGATATTGATCATCATCAAGAACGAGACCAATCTCTTCGAAAAGCAGATTGGCTTTGAATTTTGGGGCGTGGATATCACCAGACTTGTCAATTTCGATTTTTGCCTGCCCATTCACTGGGCGTAAGATGAACTGGTGGTTGGAGGCAAGGGCGTTTGCCTTGCCAACCATGCCCTTGAACTTTTGCACCATCTCGTCGTGCGGCAGGGGCTCCTTGAGCGGCGAAGATGCCTCGCGACCGGACCCAAACAGGTCTGAGTCCGTATTCCAGTATACGGCCAAGGCGCCTAGGGTTGCCAGCTTATGTGTTGTGGTGCTGGAGTCCTGAATGAACGTGGGCTTCCATTGTCCATCAGTGCTGACGGCACTGAATTCTTCCAAGGTCAACCCCAGGGCGAAAGGGTGTCCCGGGGCAGAAATTGAATCTTCGTACCGAACGTGAATGTTTTTGACGGTAACCTGCAAATTATCGACAACCTTGGTGACCAAACTTTGTGTGAAGCTTTGGCTTTTCTTTTGCTCCTCCTGGCTCATACCTTCTCGGTTTCGTTCCTTGAGTATTTCGGCGCTGTCTAGCTTTTCCAATTTGAGCCTCTGCCTTCTACGTTCCTCCTCCTCTTCGTCGTATTCAGCCTCCTCCTTCGGACTGGCCAGGAGAAAAACATCTTCGATAAAGACCTTGACGGGGGCACCACGAAGATTAGACCACGGAATAACCAGCGTTAGCTCTCCGAGGTGGCCCTCCACAACGTTAATTGGCAACTTCAACTGGTCAAGAGCCTCACGGCGCAACTCGAGGTTCCGCAGCTTGACATCGCCAGACCAGATACCAACTTTGAGCTGTGTTGGGTCGAAGTTCTGAACATACATGCCCAGGAATCGATTAAGAAGACCGGCGACCAGTCCTTCCAACATGGTGACGGTGGTGTTGCCGTGCCCCGGGCAGGGTATACCAGGTCGGTGTGGGCGGCTTTCTGTTTTCTACAATGGCAACATCGGTGGTTGGAAGCGTACAGCACGAATCAGGCGCGTATTGCAACAATCAATTCAAACTCTCTCAGCCGACGGTGGCAGCTGTGTCGTCGGCACGCGTCGTTCGATGTCGTCGGCTGCTATGGGGGGTGCTTCGGTTCGCGGTTGTGATGTGAGGGGCGCTCACAAGTCCCAAAATTGAAGTCCGCTTTACGTTATCGTTAACAGCAGACAACGGCGGGGGTTCGGGATGTCGGCACGGGCTGCTGAGACGGAAAGCAGATGCCTAGGGTTGTGAATGATGCAGAAATAAAGAGAAATAAATCAATAACTTAATAGGGCAGGTGATGGAGGAATGAGAGCACGGAAGCGCAGCAAGCTGGGCTTGGGCTTGGGGCAAAATACGTGGAGTAAACCTGTTCAAGCGGTCCATTAGATGTTGGACACAAGTCATGGGCTAATGCGCTGGATGTGACGTAGGCAAGACGGCAGGAGCGACCCGGTGGCTTGCTTGTTGCCGGTTGGGAGCTTCAATGTTGCCACGGTCACTCTGCCCACTGCTCGAGCCAGCGTCCATGTCGATGTGGATGTACCTGCTTCAAGCGCCCAAGGACCAAAGCCTCCACCCAGCGACCGAGCAGCGACCGAGCTGTTGGCGGTCTTTCCCAGCTCTCTTCACTGCAGCCACACAGCGCTGCCCAACCTGCTGGGTCCAGTCACTACCTGCCAAGCTTGCCCAGCCCGTGCAAGTTTCTCTACACATTACGTCACCATTGAGCCGTTGTCTCGTCTAGCCCCATAATGCCACCCTTCTTGGATAGTCGGAATCAGACGCCGGTTTGTTATGGCTTGATGTTCATACACATCACTCAGATACGTGTGGTCCGTCAAATCATTTGAATATTGTACAATACATATGTTAACATGCTCTTTTCAGTTGATAAATGTATCTTGCTAGACACTGTCGTCGTTGCAATACCTCGAATAGCAGCGCCAAGCTTGTCACACCCGTGCAATGTAATCTTTAAATGCGCTCCGGGTACATTAGACACGATTTCCTTGGAAAGCTCTGGCCATGCCCACAGCCATACTTAGGATCCTGAGCTAAACACAATTATCCATGTGGTATACAACACAAAAGTTGTCCTCGCTTGAAGAGCCCATCCCGTCATAAAGTCATTACCAAAACGTCCCAATGTCAATACATCTATGCCTTCCATTCCAGCCTCACAGATGATTGCAGTGATCATCCAATACTACCCATGTTTCATAGCTGTCCACCACACAAAAAGACTAGGGTATGTCGTTTCAACGCCATCGAAATGCAGTACAAACTTGACAACCAAACATTATATGCAGGCTTTTAAATATACCATAGAGAGAATATCGGTTCTCATCAGCACGACCTGCAATTTGCACCCTTCTTTTCGGCTCCGTCGCCGGACAGTCAATAGCTTAGGGTCGAGTAAGGCCTTGTTTAGCCTGTGAATGCGTTAGCATGCCGTGGCAAACCGAGTTTTCACAGTCATGGGGACAATTCTTCACACACCTTCATTTGTTCGATGCGGGCCTTCAGTTGGCTCGTAACTTCCGCAGCACGTCTCCAGCTCTCAACTCCGCCGCCATTTGTAGGTTGTGGCAATGCAGAAACAGGTCTCTCTCGAGTTGCTGGTGCGGTTGGCTCGAGAGACTCGTACGTTGGAGGTACCGCAGTCCTGAAGCCCCTAGCTGGAGAACCACGCCCAGAGGACGCTCCGCTTCCACTACGGCGAAGTTCTGGGCTGAGCTTGCTCCTTGGGTACACCAGCTCTCCGTTCTCTTTCTCCTCCGACATGGTACTCGTAAAGCTCATTCTGTTACGGCTGGTCGATGCAGACCCTGAATCGCGGTAGATACCAACATCGTCGTGCGTCGGTGACGTGACTGCTTGATAATTAGCATACTACATGGTGGGCTATTGCAGACAAGAGAAGGGGTGCGTACCTGGACTTCCCACTCCTGATTGTGCTCCCAAACCCTCGGCCCGGCTCAGTGCTCTCTTCAAGCGCTCTAGCTCTCGTCGTAGCCTTTCATTGGCCTGTGCGGTCGCCTCGGCGTCGCTTCGGGCTCGGACAAGCTGTGTTTCCTTGGCCTTAATGCTGAGGACATCTCTAGTATGATCTTCTATGAGGCCAGCATTCTGGTTTTTCAACTCTTGAATCTCAGACATGAACTTATTCCGCTCTTGCCGCATATCGTCGACTTGGCGGGACAGTCTTTCGTTGGCTGCCCGAAGCTCTTCTAATTCTGCACGCTCAACAGCAGTGAGGCTACTCGACGGTGGTGGAGAATCAGCTGTAGGCATAATTGGAGCTGCGGCCGGCTTCGCCAGTGAGCGACCAGCGAGTCCCCGAGACAACCCAGCTCGGAGCTGCGGAGGCGGCGGCGCTGCAGGTTCGTCTTCTGGGGGCATCACAGGCGGACCTGTGGCCGGACGCCGAGGAGACGCAGATCCAGGTCCCCCGAGCGTCCGTTTCTGGGGAGCCTTCAACCCAGCTAAGCCTGACGGTTTCGGGGCTCCTAGTTTGCTGCCGCCGGCTGCAAGCTTGGGTGCCGCCGGTGCTGCCGCAGGAGGAGTCTCTGCAGGCATGACGGGAGCACCAGCTTTCTTGACAGGCTGCCTCTTTGCGCCAAGTGGTTTCTTTGCCGAAGGCGGAGGGGCTTTCACTGCCGGTGCAGGCTTGGGCTTTTCCTTGGCCTTGACTTCGGCCGTTTCGAAGAATTCTTTAACCTTGGTCTTTCGAATATCGTCAAGGCCGTCCAGATATGGAGTCATGGCTCGTTCGCCGATAATCTTCATCACTGTTCCAAGAATCTCAGCGCCGCCATCTCGGAGCGCTGGGCTGCCTTCTGAAAGCAATTTCTTGCCAGATTCGCAAATGGTGGCAATCTCAGGCTTGGCGGGAACTGTTCTGGTATTCCGTAGGCACCGGATCAAAAATTTCATGGTACCTTCCTTTACTTGTGGATTTTTGTTGCTTAGATAGGCAGTAATATCTTCAAGACAATCAGTTAAGCTTGTCGAGACAAAAACAGCATCCAGGGCAGATCCAAGGGCATCTGAAACCGTCGCCTTCTTTTCTTTCAAACGATCCATGATAGGTTGCATAACAACCGCTCGGTACTTGCCATAGCTTTGTCGCAGTCCTCTGGCCAGCTGTTCGATACACTGGGCCGCTTGTGTAACAACAGCAACATTAGCGTCCTTCATACACTTGGCGAGGCCTCGATTGACTTCGCCGAAATCGCTGTCTTTGATGCGGGGAACGTTTAATGCCTGATATAAGGCCTCGACGGCTTCTTTTCTATCCTTCCACTTTGAGGATGCGAGCATATCGGTAAAGTTGGCGGGGATCTTTTTTGTAATATCCTCGGGCTCAGCGAGAGAGAACGCATCAACCTCGGCTGCTTCCTCGTCATCCTCTACTCCGTCCTCGCCATCATCTGCACCAGCTGGGGCGGATTCTGCGGCAGCTTGTTGGGATCGAAGCAGTCGCTCTTGTTTCGGTGGTGGCTCGGCCTTGACCTTCTCGAATTGTGCCTCAAGGTCAGTCTGTTGGGTTGGTTTGAGGTCACCCCAGAACATGGGCTTCATGGCTTCGCGCAACCATCTGTAAAGTTCCACGGCAAGGTTGGTCGCCTCAGCACGAACGTTCTTATCAGCAGCACCAAATACTTTCGGTAGAGCCTTCAGCACCGGCTTGGGGTCAACTAATTTACATCCGTAATTGTGGATTATAGTTGTTAATGCATTCAGTGTAGCAGCCACATTCTTGGGGACCTTGTTGGCTAGACCAGGTAAAACGTCTTCAACCACCGGGCCGGCGGCGTCGAGCTCGATGTAAAGAAGCAAAGCCTCTTGCGCGTTTTGCTTGGTAGCTGCTCTCGTCGATGACAGGCATTTCTCAACCATGGGTGTGATTGTGAGGCCGCGGGTCCGCAGGGCGCAATCGCGTCCGCCGAATTTCAGGAAAGCGCACAGAGCAATGATAGCCTCTTGTTGTGCGGCGACATTGGAGTCGGTAACAGCAGACTTCCAGAGATTGGGGTCGTTGAGGAATGGCCGAAAGCATGGATCGGCCTCGTCCGGTGAAGCAGAGAACTGTTTGGCAGCATCTTCGTATGCTGCTTTCCTCACCTTCCAAACCTATCAACACGAATTAGCTCCGGTCTTACAGGCAGCTAGGAGATAAAACCAATCAAACCTTATGAGTAAATCGGTCAGGAAGCGGCAAGGAGCTAAAGTCCTCCTCTTGATCCGCCATTATCTCAAAGCGTCGGGCGTGGGGTTCGTGATGCGGGAGTGGTCGTCTCCCTTGAGGCTTCACTAAACGAACTAACTTTTCGATTAGCACGGATATCCTTCCACGGCGCCGAGGCTCATCCATAGCACCCTTTGGATTCGAAATGCTCATGCACACTCCGAAGGGTCAAGCCGTGCATATCCAGAGGTTGTAAATACTCGGAGCGGCAGAAGCTACCTACCAGCAGGAGAAGCTGTGGAAACACCAGCAGATGGTCAATGCTAGCAATCCAGGTTGTATCGCCAGAACAAACGAAGGAGTAACTCGAGGCAAGAAGTTGGTACAAGCAGGTACTCCGAACAGGCCGTACGTTCCTGTCGTTGGTCGAGAAGAAAATAGAGGGCAAAAGACTCCAGAATTGTGCGTTGGTCGTGACGTCCCAGGCGGGGAGTGTCAGGGTTGCCGCGAATCTTTTGGGAGTTGAAGTCAACGCCAGTAGAGGAAGCCGTAACTGGTACAGGTAGCAAAAGCAGGACAATTAATCATATGAATCGCAGTCTAGGTAGCGCAACAGGTCTTTGATTCGAAGTGCGACAGTAGCGACAAGAGTAGTTTACGAAGCGATGTTTTGCCTGGTTGGGAAGGGGGATCAGACAACTG